CTGGGATGAGCCGAATACATAGATGGAGAGGGTGGCTCCCCAAAAGAAGATGGGGCGCTATACTAAAAGGAGGGACAGTGGATGCGGGGCAGTCCATCGGCACACATCTGCCTCAGAATCCAGCAGTGGAGCCTGATGGCTGGAGGTGCTCCATCCCAGGGCCACCTGCCAGAGTTATGCAGGGCTGCCCTCTCCACTTAGGAGAAGGGGCCAACAAGGTAAGGGGCCCCACCGGGGCATGCACCCAGGACAGCACTCCCCTGCTGTGTCTTATGCACATGTGGACCCCTGCTGGTAATAAGGTGCTTGCAGACGCTTGCTCAGAGCCTTGGTCTTGGGGAAGAGCTGGGGCATGTCTCTGAGTGAGGGCCTTGGGGGCAGGAGCCGGACCGTAAGTAGTCCTGTGTGTCCGGCTCAGCTTGGAGGCTCAATGAACGCTTGTGGAATGAATGGGCGCAGGGATGGAGGAAGGATGTTATTTCCAGAGCCCTTCTGGGACAAGACCACACTTTGTAGAGAACTGAGTCCAAAATTCTTCTCCCCCAGCTCCTCAGGGTGGCAGGCGCCTCGGGTCGCCGGTTTGAACTGTCATCTTAAGCTGGGCCACCCCCACACCTCTCCCCTGGGAGTAGGAGTTGTGAGAACTGCAAACAGCTCTCTTGGCACTTGCTGGCTCTGTCCAGACCTCCACACCGAGAGACTTTGCATGACGTCTAGCAGCCAAAGGCCCGACCGTCCCCGGAGTCCCCCAACCCCTTTTGGATTCCTACCTGGAAAAGCTCAGGGTTGTCAAAAGAATTGACTGTCTTTCTAGCCAAAACCTGACATAGGCCCCTCACCTCCTTTTCTTAAGAGCATTTACTAAAAAGGTGGGGGGACTTACACCGTGAACCCTCCGTCTGTCTCTGTACCGCCTACAACTCCGGAGGGCCTTTCCCCCGAAATGTCATTGTGGAGCCTCATCGCGTGTCCACGGACCCCGGCTTTGCACTTGTTCACTCCTGACTCTACTGGAGGGCCCCTCCCCTGTGCCCGCCCCCTCCCCGCTGCCTCCTGTCACCCCTGCACAGGTGGGGTGCGCTCAGCGCTTCCCTGCTGACAGTGGTTACTCAGGGCACTATTCTCACACTTGGACTTCTGCTGGGCCTTGTTCGCCTTCGCCAGGTTCCTGACAACACTCCCCCAAACCGTGTGACCCCTTCCCTCCAGCCTGGCTCGCTTTCTTTTGCTCCAAACATTCATCACCACTTGATGTTACTGAAGGAAAACCGTTCCTGTGTGCAGTCCCTCTGACATGGAGTGTGTGGACGCGTGGAGCGTTCTCCACGCTGACCATTTCTCCGACTCTCAGATGCCAACGGGGGGCTTGGGCTTCCGTTCTGTTCGGAGGCTAACTGCTTGGAGGCTTCCGGGCTCAGACCCACCAGACTGCCCCCACGTCGGATGGTCCCCGGGGTCCCCACGCTTGTGTCTGACCCGCTGTTCTCTCAACACCTTCCTCAGGTTTGAGGATTTGCTAGAACGTCTCACAGAACGCCGGGCAATACTCGCCGGTGTTTACCGGTTTGGGATAAAGGATGTCATGTCACAGGGGATTCGGCTGAACAGCTGGAACAGGGCTCTGGCAGGGTCCTGGGCAGGAGCCTCCATCCCTGGGGGGTTTGGGGTGCGCCACTCCTTGGCCTATGGAGGAGATCCCCCCCTTGGACCTTCTCCCAACCCTCTAGTTTAGGGATTCTGTGGTGCCTCTTGGAGCAGGCAGGATGGATTACTTATCTCCAGCCCCTCAGCAACCCCCAGAGGATGGGGGCGGGGCTGAAAGTTCCAAGGTCAAGGGCTTCCTGGGGACCAGCCCCCACCCAGGAGGCAGGCGGAGCCCACCTGGAGTCGCATTATTAGAATAAAAGGTGCTGCTCTCCCCCAGGAAATTGCAAGGGAGAGGGAGGCCTGCCTGTTCCCCTAGGCATGTCAGAGCCCAGCCCAGACCGAGGTGTGGCAGAGGCAGATAGACGTGGGTTGGTTGGGAGAGGCCCACATTGGAGCCGGCCCCCTCCACCCCCCCCCCCCGCCCCCACCCCCCCCCGCAGGGCTGGAGGATCAAAGCTGGGTTGGAAAGAGCTTTGCAAACCCCCAGGGCAGCACCTTCCAAGTGCCGTTACCATGGCGGTTAATGTGATTTGTGTCCTTTGCAGAAAAGGCTCTCCCCCTTCCCCCCACCCCCCAGCCTAGCTTGCTAGCTTGTATAAATATTCATCATCCAGCCATTTCCGCTGCCCTGGTCAGGCCAGCACCCAGCAGGGACCTGAACGATCAGAGGCCTGTCCCAGACAAACGGAAAATCACCAGGGAGGGCAGGCTTCGGAGCCAGGTGAACAGGAACTGGCTGGGCTCCAGAATCCCTGGGGGGCCCACCACCATCCTGGGAACCGTCCCTCCCCTCCTCCTCTTCCCCTTCCCCCCCTCTTGGCTCAGACAGCTCCAGGGGTGATGCCGGGATGGTCGTTCCACCAGGCACCCAAGTGCCATGTGTTTTTCATCCCATCTGCTCCAGTTTACTTATTCCCCCACTGGTGTGGAAGTATGACAGGGTGCCAAGTCTGGGCTGGGCACTGGGTGGGGGACACGAGGGTGAGCCAAAGGGGACAGGCAGGCTTCTCCAGGAGAAGGGAGCACGCCAGCCCCACCAACTCAGCAACCGGCTGGCTGCTGGACGGGAGAGCCCTGCTTGTAGGAACGTTCCTTTCCTTACGGGGCCCACTGTTTCGTGTTGACATTCGGAGCCCGCAAACCCATTTCAAGCCATGAGAATCTCAAGACCTATGGGCAGCAAGCAAATAGAATGCAAACATAAGCATTTACAAACCAAATGTAGAACTAAAAATTTAGTATAAACGCTAAAGCAGGGAGGGTGGGGGGGGCAGCGGGGGGGGGGTGCGGGTACCCGGAAGACGGAAGACGGCTGGAGGAGCCGGTTTGAGAGGCAGAATCAAGAGTCACTTCCCAGCTGCCTTGCTGCTGTCCTCTTCCAGACACTGTGTCGCCTCTACTCCGAGGACCAGCCCCGCTTGGGTACAGCTGATGGCAGCCCACTCTCTACTATGACCCCCCAACCCTGACATTCGGGGGCCTCTTTGTGCTGGCTTTATCTGCTTATCCAGCCTTATCCCCATTATTGCTTTGACCTCCAGGCTCCAGCCTGACCTCCCAAACTGCCCTCCCCAGCACCCATGTACCCCTCTGCTGTGCACCTGCTTCTCCAGATTCCATACAAGATTGAGTCTTGCCTCCTCCAGGCAGCCCTCAGTAATCTATTTGGCTTTACTTGCTGCCAAAGTCTACTGACTTGTGCTCAAAGTCACATTGCAAAAGGAGCCGGCATGCAGGAATGGGAATGTTTTCTGGTCCTTTCTGCTTTTTTCCACAGCAGCCAACATGAATTCTCCCGAAAAGCACCCTAAGAGAGAGGACCGTACCGTGTGGCGTGGAGTGTGTTAACCTGCCCCTCTCTTCTCCTGGCTGTGGGGCTCAAAGCAGTGGTGGCCAGGGCTGCTTCGTGGGCGTGTGACCTGAACCATCAGAAGAGCCCGGCCCTTGGTTTGATGCCCTGGGGTCACCATCTTGAAATTCTTCATGATGTTGAACAAGAGCTCTGAGTTCTCATTTATACTTGGTCCCATGGATTAGAGAGGCAGGTACCGATGATACGCCCAGCACAGGAAGTCCCCTGCTCTTCGAGCCCTGAAGGTGCAGGGTCTTCCTGTCTGACAGAAGGGGCTAGAAGCACTGAAACTGGTCTGAGACTACAGTTGTGGGTGGGAGGTGTGTGGGGGGGGGGGCGGGGGGGTTGGGTCTGCAGCCCAAGATTTCTTGGTCATAAAGCCTTTGACACCTGACCCATGGATGTTTTGACGGGCATATCCCTTCCTGCACCTGCCCCAGAGGTAGACCCCTCCTACCTTTTAGGATGACCAGACTTTAATTTGGGACCCAGGGCTTGGGGTGTAAGCTCCCATTAGCTGTCAGCTATTGCCTAAGCCACTGATCTAATCAGTTCCTTGCACTGTTCCTGCCTCAGTGGGACCAGGGTGGACCTCCTTCGGGGCCTGATCTGGATCCTTCAGTAGGGACTCTGGTGCAGAACCCAGCACTTGGTCCCTTATCGTCCTGGCATATAACACTGACAGTGACATTCTTTGTGCCTCTCGCCCCCTCAAGCCTGTGTTTCAGGACAGAGGCTGCTCACTTGCCCCAGCATCCCTACTCCTGGCACATGGCCTCCCACACAGTCGGTGCTCAACAAATGTCGAGGGGGCATTTACAGCCATTAGAATGTGGACTCTGAGCCCAGCCTGGATTCCGATCCTGATCCTGCCACTCACCAGCTACATGGCCTTGGGCCAGGAAACCCCCTACCTCAGTTTCCTCTTGTAAAAACAGAAACAGGATAACAATAGTACCTACTTTATATAGTTGTCGTGGAGATGAAGTGAGTTAATATATATGTAAAGAGCTCAGACCTGCACAGAACCTGGTAAGTGCCTTCTGTTTGCTGTTAGCAGTGAATGAATGAAACTGTAAGTACAGGCTCACTGTCCCGTGTTGTGTGGAAATGTATTGGGCTGGTCTTCTGGATATCACTCATTCATTCCTTGAATGGGTGTTGGGTGTTTACCGTGAGCCAGGCACAGTGCTAGGCGTGGGGAGATTAAAAAGTTGAGTAAGATACACCTTGCTCTCGGAGGACTTACGGGGCGGGGGGGGGGGGGGGGGGGGGGGCTCCTGATGGGTGAGTGAACGCAACTCCTGCGATCTGCTTCCCCCTCCCCCACCGCCTGCTCCCTGCAGGTGTGAGGCTGGGGAGGGGCGTGGGGAGGAGGGGAGTCATCCTGCCTCGGTGGGGCAGAAGGAGCACCAGAATGGAGGGGACCTGGAGCTGAGCCCTGCCTCGATGAATAGACAGTAGCCTTATGTAAAGCACAGGTTGGATTCAAACACTTCGGAGTTAAAGTTTTGTTTTGTTTTTAATGATGATCATAGAAAAGGACAAAAAACAATGGTGCTAACAAAAGAACATGATTCCATAGCCACATTTTTACATCCATCAAGGTTAGATATTTTTCAAAAAGCACATAGAAGCCCTACATTAAGAAATCGCCTATTCACTGTAGTAAAAGTTAGTGATCTCATCGTGAAACCAGGGGGCTTGAGTAGCAAAGGATTACAAGAATAGTTAAAATACCTTTTTTTTTTAATTAAGTAAACTACTTACAAGTTGATTATGAAAACGTTTGTCAGACACAGAAACGTTTCTGATTCTCTCTGCGTGAAGAACTGGTCTCTGGAGGGTGGCTCCTTACCAGAGTAAGGTTTCCGTAAAACGTTAAATAGCAGAAAGTGTGAATAAGCCTTCAAGCCGGTGGGGGTGGGGGGCGGGGAACAGGGTGGGGCACATGGAAAAGAGTCAAAAACAAGGTTAAGATAAAGGTTTGCCCAAAGACTCTGAGGCAGCCCCTCCCATCCTCATCCCTTCTAAGCTCCCCTCTGCCCCCCACCCCAGCCCACCCCCCACCCCAGCAGTGCTGCTCAGATGCATGGCAGAGGTCAGGTTCCCTCTAGGTTCCAGAGACCACAGTTATCTGGACAAATTCAGCCCCTCCCTCTGGGTGAGTCTCCCCTTGAAAGCCCAAGGTGGTGGGCATGGAGAGTCCGTGGATACCCAAAGGACTTGCTAGGCTGCAGACCACTGCCCTCCGCTGGGATTATCGGAACTCGGGGGAGCAACCATGATCACCACCGTTGCTCAGAAGAACTCTGATTTATTCCATGACTCGCAAATGGGGAAAAGGGGAGCTTTGGAAAACACCCACAGTTTTGAATTCAGAGATAGCATTGCCTGGTACCGGGTTTCCCCACCTCAGCACTATTGGTGTTTGGGGGTCAGATCATTAATTCTTTGTTGTTGGGGGGTGTTCAGCAGCTTCGTTGGCTTCTATCCACTAGATGCCAGTAGAACATCGACCCCCAACAAGCTGTGAAAACCAAATTGTCTCTCCACGTTGCTGAAGGTCCCCTGAAGGACAGAATTTTCCAAGGTTGAGAACCCCTGGCCTAATGGTTCAGAAACGTTGCTACATAGATGCCCTGGGCTCAAGACCCCAGTCTCCTGCCGACCAGCCTGAGCTGGCAAACTCCCACAAAACCCTCAGAGACTCCGTCCCCTTAAGTGTAAAAGTTTGGAAACTCCCTACCTACCAGCTTACAGAGCCCTGGTCAGAATCATCTGGATTGTTGGGATAATGCTTTGAACCGTAAGTGCAGTGATTCTTTCGTTCCTTAAGACATTGGTGGGATGGACACAGGGGTCGCTGGTGGCTGCTTAGCCACATGGAGGGGCTCGGTGATGAATAAGGGCTCTGGATTTCCCCAACTGTTGTGCACACAAGTTCCCTGCAAATATGCCTTGTGTATCTGTCAGGATTTATTCCCAAGGCAGGAGGGGTCTCAGCCCTCCTTCTGGGAAGGCGGGAAGTCAGCTGGCAAAAGGACCCAGAGGCAGAGGATGGAGCCTCATTAAAGCATCTGGATAGGGGGCGCCTGGGTGGCTTAATTGGTTAAGCGACTGCCTTCGGCTCAGGTCATGATCCTGGAGTCCCGGGATCGAGTCCCACATCGGGGGAGTCTGCTTCTCCCTCTGACCCTCCTCCCTCTCGTGCGCTCTCTCTCTCTCTATCTCATTCTCTCTCTCAAATAAATAAATAAATAAAATCTTTAAAAAAAAAAAAGCATCTGGATAGATTCTGGCAGGTGCAAGCCTGCACCGCGGCCAAAAGATGGGCACAGGGTACATCCTAGGTACTGTGCAGCCTGTCCTGCCTCTTCGAGGGATTCCTCTGCTTTTATTATCTCTCTCTCTCTCTTTTTTAAAGATTTTATTTATTTATTTGACAGAGAGACAGCGAGATAGGGAACATAAGCAGGCGGAGTGGGAGAGGGAGAAGCAGGCTTCCTGCAGAGCAGGGAGCCCAATGTGGGGCTCGATCCCAGGACCCTGTGATCATGACCCGACCCGAAGGCAGCCGCTTAATGACTGAGCCACCCAGGCGCCCCTTATTATCTCTCTTGATAAAAAAAAAATTATGACTTTCCCAGTGACTCATAACAACAACACAGACTTACATTCTAAAATTGATGTCAATTTTCTGTACTTTTGACCATTCCATTCCATTAACTCCTGACAGCTACCCTTTTCTCACTCTGGGGGAATCCTTCCTCTCTGCAGTCCCTATGTTTTGCACTGTTTTGTCCCCTGTCACACACCCCAAAAGAAGGGAAAGAAAATGGCCAAGGTCTCACCTCAGAAGTGATTTTCTGGGAACATCTCGCTGCTGCTTAATGCGGATGACCTGAGTTTCTCGGAGAGGCTCCTTTTTTCCGCTTGGAGATAATGAACTCCTGTCCCTCTGGGCTCTCAGCTCTCAGCGCAGCCAGCCTGTCTTGTGTCCTTGTCACTGATGACAGAGGCCAGGGGCCTGTGGGGCAGGCCACTACAGGGCACTCAGGCTCTGACTGCTGCCTTTGGCCCTCTGAGCACAGCCTCTTCGTCGTCCCATCAGGGCAGCCCAGCCCACCTAGGACTCGCTCTGGGGATGCTCAATGGGCAGGTGCCAGGACATGGTGCATGGGGCCGGGTGACAGCTGGAAGGTAGCGCGATGCCCATCCCAGGGCTTGTGCTGGTAATCCAGGGCCATCCCTGCGCTCCCCGGTGATGGCACAGCAGGCTGGGAGATGATGTTCTGGCCCAGGCAGCAGGAGACTTGCCAGGTCTCCCTTCCTTTCCCTTGTGGCCCCATTTGCCCTCCCCAATATTACAGGTCCTGATTGGAAGCTCTCTAACGCCTCTTTACCTCTGTGAGTTTCTCAGACTGCTAAACACGTGTGCACTGCTCCAACCCCCTTCCAGGACCTACACTTGAACCCTGCGACCCGGGACCCAAACAGCCCCAGCCTCAGAGTCCCCGTTCCTGGGACGGTCCGTTCCAGAGGGCTCACCGTGGAGAGTGTGCGCACAGGGAGACACAGGGTAGCCATCCAGCCTGGAGGGCCAGCAGAGGTGGATCTGAATCCCAGCTCTCTAGATGTGGGTTCTCAGGCCCATTGGCCCGGCCTCAGTTTTCTCAACAGAAAAATGGGACAATAATTAACGTGCACTTCTCCGCACCTCCCTTCTGCCTCCGAGGGGTGAGTGGAGAAGTAAATGGGATACGAACAGAGCACAGCACAAGGAAGATGCACGGTAGATGACAACAGTAAGGATAATAATTATTAATGATATCACTGCTAATGATGAAAGAAGGTCATGCTCCTGAAGAAGGACAGGATCACTTGTCTGGAGGGAATCAGGCGGCAGGACAGACGACGGCCGCGTCTCTCCAGTCTCCAGGGAGGGGTTCCAACATATGCTAGTGGTCTGGCCGGCAGCCAGGCCTTCCATTTAGAACAGGCTGGAAAATGGCTTATTGCCTCTCCAGCCAAGTGGTACTGGTCTGCCCTCCCTAACTTTCTCCCTCTGATCCCGGGGATCTCCTGAAAGGAGGTAAACTGTCTCTCTCTGGAGGGGAATCTCATCTGCCTCTTGACCTGGATCTCAGGGAAAAGGGAAGGACAGCTGAGTGAACACCTCCCCGGGCCCACACAGGAGGTGGAACCCCCTCGGGACACACCTGCCTAACGCATCCTCCGGCCTCTCCTCCCAAGCTCCCCTCCCAAGCTCCGGTGACAGCATCTCCAGCCCTCCTAAAGCACGTGTCCCACATGCAGACAAACACGGGTATGTGGCACCTATGACTTGCAGAGGGAAGATGGGGAGGCACGTGGAGGGCCAAGGAGGGAGAACATTCCAGCAAACACAGGACCCCTTCTCTGAAGAGCAGCTACTGAAGAGGCAAGCCCCTTCTTCCTCAGCGCTGGCTCATTAAGTCAAGGTGGGCTCTGGGGCCAACCTCACCCAGGAGAAGCCAGATGGGAGCCCCAGGCTGGGGTGTGAGAGAGGAGCATCCGTCCTGCCTGCTCAGGAGAGTCCTGGGGCCCAACAGGAGGCCCGAGCCTGGGCCGGAGCCTCACCTACCACACGGATCATCCCAACTCTCCCCGGCAATCTGGCTGCATGAGCCTCACTCCTTGGGTGGGCCCCTTTGTTGGGCTCCGGGTCTTGGCCAGGGTCCTTCGGCATGTATCCCAAGAAAGCTGCTCTCTGGTAACATCTCTGGCCACACAAACACACTTGTGTTCAGCTTTGAAGAGAGGGGCAGGTGACAGGGACCACCATCCCTGAAGCTTGGACAGAGAGAGGGCAATGGGCAGGGGGACGAGCCTGCCCTATTCTGAGGATAGTCAGACTTCTGCCTGTGGAGGAAGTCAGAGCTGGCCGGGGCCACACCACGACATGGGACCTCGAGGAATGGCCTCTGTAGACCCAGAGCCTGGCTTAAATGTGCCCTGGAGGTGCCACCCCAGCCAGTGAATGCAGCATGGTGTGGCAGAAAGAGGCTGGCTTTAGAGCCGGAGGGTCCACACTCCAGTCCCAGCTTGTCACTTTCATGCTGTGTGGCCTCGGGCAAGTTACTCTGCTCCCCTGAGCTTCTGGTTCCATATGTATTGGAGTAAGGATGCTGTAAGGTGATCGTATAGATTAAACATGCACATGTGGGCCCAGCACGGTGCCTGGACACAATGCTCAGATGGTGCCTCCTGCCCGTTACCTAACATCCAAGACAGAACCCCGCTGAGTAAGGCAGAAGGGACAGCACAGCACACCCTCTGGCTGGAAATCTGTCCTTTACCCTTCATTGGACATTCACGTGCATATCTATCCTCGTTGTTACCTAAGTGATGGTGGGAAAAACCAGATCAAAACACTGTAGGAGACTGGGATGGAGTGACCCTGAGCAAGTCACTATAATTGCCGAAGGTGAAGTCTGGACAAGATGGCCCAGGTCTCCAGGCCCTGTGTCTGTGGCCCTGACCAAAGAGGGAGAACTCCTTGAAAGTTGAATTTAACTGGCATTTACGCCAGGGGAAGAGAGAGCCTTCGTGGGGGAGACCCCTGCGCTCAGAATTACCCAGAGAATCCCCAGCCCGCTGGGGCTGCCCTGGATACTCGGAGCTGGGACCACACGTTCCTCCCCTCCCCGGTCACGGCACACAGAACCCTCTAGAGCTCCCACTGCCATCGCCACAGGCCATCTGGAGAACAGGGAGCTGCCACCTACTTCTCTACAGGGCTCCTTCGGGGATGCGGGGTCAGAAGGTAAGGACTCAGAATATCTGGGCTGCAGTGACCCCCACAAAGACACCAAGCATCGCCTAGCCTCCTCCCCACCCCGGCTCTCGACCTCCTCCTTGGGTTCTCATGAAGACACCTGTCTCAGAAAGCCCTTGCTCATGGGGCACACATGGGGGTTGAGACAGGGAAGAGTTTGCTCGGGAAGCAGCGGGGATGATGGGTGTGCAACGGCTGACCACCCAGCCCAGCCCCCCCGCCCCCCCGCCCCCCTGCCCAGTCTGGTCCTGCTGAGAGCACGGCCCTGTCAGTGATTCCAGAAGGAGCCCGGGCCGAAGGTCCCCATCCCTTCTCCCTCTTGGCAAAGGTCACACCAGCTCTGCACTCACGAGCTCCACTTGAGCCGAAGCCGCCGGGCATGCATGCATGGCTGCAGCGACACATGTGGCTCAGAGGAGCTGGTGGCCACCTGAGGACACAGTCTGGAGGTCGGGCTGGAGATCCTGTTAGCACAGTAGCCCGGCGCCAACCTCGCAGATGGGTGGCTGCCTCTGGACAATTAAGATGTCCCTGTGCCTGCCATTCAGAAACAGCCATGTCTCCTGAGACCACAGGGACATAATCAGCCTTTTTGCAATTGTCCCCAAACAGCACCAGGGCTTCCCACCCAGTCTTTTCAGTTTCCCCACCACAGAGGGGAAGTTTAGACCGTTTATTTTCTTTCGCACAGCACGGGGAGAAAGCACGGAGAAAGCCACTCCTGGCCTGCAAGCGAGGGAGCCTGCGTGTGAGCCTCTCCCACTCTGCTCGGCACAGGGCAGCTATCTGGGGAAGGGGGGTGTACCCTGCAGGCGCCTTTCCTAAGGACAAAGAAGAGCGAGTCCTTCTCCCCCAGCGCATCCCATCCTGTGCTGGTCTGCGCGGGAGGCTCCCTTACTTGCCAGAACCCCCTTCCCCACAGCCGCTGACTCGGAGGAAGGTTAAGGAGGCTGACTCGGACAGAGCACATTCATGCCTGCAAGAGAACCCAGGAGCCAGACCCAGTGTAAAATGCAGGTGTCTGAGCACCTGGCCCCCCTGGCACACAGCTTCCAGACCCTTTCTCTGGGCATTCTCCCCGAGGGCAGCTGAGAAGCAGGGATTTGCTTGAGAGAGTGCTTCACTGGGGCTGAGAGAGCCCCTGGCTGAGTCAGGAAACATCCCTCCTGCTCTGACCGCTGCAGACAACCTGCCCTGTGTTCAACGGCAAACCGCGCCTCTCCCTCCCGGCTGTCGGAGGATCAGGTGGGCATGAGCCTGCCATCTCTAAAATCCCGAGATTTCTCAGAGAGGAGAGAGCATCTTCTGGCGGCTGGTCTGAAGACTTGACCACATGGCAGATCTACAGTTTAAAGGCGCTTCTTCTCTTTTGAAAAAGAAGAGCAAGTCCGTCTGGCAGAGAACCCCCTACCCATGGAAATCCCACCCCATCACCAGTCATCCCCCTGTCCTTGGACTGCCGATGCATCTGGGTCTCAAAAGGGGCCAAGGGTCTGATGACAAAGATGCCTGGTGCAAGTCAAACGAGGAACGTTCTATGGCCCAGGTCACGACCACCCTATTCCAAAGGGCTGAGTGGGAGACCAAGGCTGGGCTGGGAACGTTCCAGTTCTGAGGGCAGCTCTCACCCCCGCACCCCATACACCAGGTGCGGTAAGTTGGCATAAAAACCAGACACATACGTGATTATTTACGGCCAGCAAGCGATCGTCACCCCATGTCCATATTTCACACCTAACCGGCTATTTCCACTGGTCTTAGTTCTTAAAATACAGTTTCAGAAAATTCCCCAATTTGCTCCTCGCGAAGGCTTTGCCCCATCACGCCTCCAGGGACTGGAAGCTCACACTCCCGTTTTCTGGATCAGCTTGACCACAGCACAGAACGTTGGAAATCAGGGCTGCTTGGGGGAATTCCTGATGCACAGTCGCTGCCCCTGGAGAGGACGTGCACATGGTCAGAACTTCTGGTTCCAGAAGGTGGGCACAGCCAAAGGCCAACAGCGCTGATGCCCCAAACAAAGCTTCGCCCTGCTGTGAGCCCAGCATGGGGTGAGCCGGCCTGGAGCTCGCGGGCGCCCCGAACCTCAGAAAGTGAAGGCGTACACCACCCCAACCACCACAATGTTCCCCAGTGTCGCTATGATGGCAATCCAGAGCAAGACCGTGTCGTTGGAGGACCGCGGAGGCTCCTCCGGCTGGCCCTGGCCGTTGGAGGCCGCATGGACGTTGGTGGAGGAGTTAAAGAGGGAGTACTCTGTGCTGAAGTCCTCATTGGGCGAGTCCATGAAGGCGCCTCCCATCATGGGCAGCTGTGGAGAGGGAGAGAGAGAATTAACCTGGGCGCACGGGCCTCGGGAGGAACCGCCTTTCAGAGGGACATCTGCCGGGTCAAGCAACCCTGTGCTCAGACACAGCATCTCACAGGGCTCTCCTTCTGTTTGTTATCATGGACAGTGCCTATTTTAAGCTACAAAAATTAGTAGAGACGGCAACACTTGGAGGCAGACACCCTCATGCCCATTTCACAGATGGAAGCGTTAAGGCACATAGCTTATCCACAGCTGCGGGCAGTCGCTGGGACTTACAGACCCCCTCTCACGGCCGGGCCCTCCACCCCAGCATGGGCTGTAAAATGCCTTCCTTCCTCTTCTCTTTGTAAAGTCACGATGCTCAGCACAGAACATTAAGGAAATAGAAAAGAGGAAAAAGAAAAAGTGAGAATCAGCCTCGCTGCTTTAGGATAACCACTATTAACACTGAGATATTTTCCTTTTGCACCTTTTTCCAATGTGAGTGTGTGTACGTGTGTGTGAGAGACAGAGAGAACACATGTTTAAACATGTGGTTTTATATAAAATTTTGCATAAAAATTCCATCAAAACACCATTTTACCCATTGTATATTATTCTACCACAAATAAAACCGCAATTTAACCATCCCCCTACAACTGGAGATTCAGAAATTTTGGTTTTTTCCTTTTATAAATAATGCAGTCAGAATGGCTAAAATTAACAAGTCCAGAAATGACAGATGTTGGTGAGGATGTGGAGAAAGGGGAACCGTCCTACACTGTTGGTGGGAATGCAAGCTGGTGCAGCCACTCTGGAAAACAGTGTGGAGGTTCTTCTAAAAGTTGAAAATAGAGCTACCCTATGACCCAACAATTGCACTACTGGGTATTTAGCCCAAAGATACAAATGTAGTGATCCGAAGGGGTACGTACACCCCAATGTTTATAGCAGCAATGTCCACAATAGCCAAACTGGAAAGAGCCAAGATGTCCACCGACAGATGAATGGATAAAGAAGAAGTGGTACATATATACAATGGAATATTATGCAGCCATCAAAAGGAATGAGATCTTGCCATTTGCAATGATGTGGATGGAACTGGAGGGTATTATGTTGAGTGAAATAAGTCAAACAGAGAAAGACATGTATCATATGATCTCACTGATATGAGGAATTCTTAATTGCAGGAAACAAACGGAGGCAAACCATAAGAGACTCAATCTCAGGAAACAAACTGGGAGTTGCTGGAGGGGAGAGGGGTGGGGGGATGAGGTGACTGGGTGATGGACACTGGGAGGGTATGTGTTGTGGTGAGCACTGTGTATTGTGTAAGACCGGTACTCCTGGAACAAATAATACATTATATGTTAACAATAAAAAAATTTTTTTTTTAATAATGCACCAATCAACACCCCATACCTGCATTTGGGTGTACATACGTGCTTCTACGTGCATTTTTATTTATTGTGGCAGATTCCCAGACAGGGAACTTCTGAGTCAATGAGTATGAATTCTTCAGAGCTCCTGGTGCACAAAGACACACTCCCCAGAAGAGCGTGTCTAACTCCCAAAGCCTCACGCATAAGGATGCCAGCACGTTTTCACTCCAGAGATCAGAGTAAAGGCTCCAGGCTGGGGTGGGGAGGTGGGCTACTCAAAGGAGGGGGTGACCCTTCATGCAGCCAGACCGCCCCAGGAGCTGATGTGCCCTAGGCTACAGGGCTGGCTCTGGCATCTATTAGGCCCACGGTGTGTGTTTTGAATGGCACCCGAGTGAATGAACACTGAGCAGTTAAGCTTTCCTTCAGCGCACATTTATTAAGCACTTATTCCTACCAGCACAGAGGCCCTGTCATACTCAGGGGATGTGCAAGAGATTTTACAATTCACCACTCAGCTATCCTGTCAGAGACCACTATATCCCCATTTCACAGATGGGTAAACAGAAGTCAAGACTACAGCACGAATTTGTGGTGGAGTCAGGGTTGAGAGCTTCTCGCTCTGCGCACAGTCACCCTGACTCTGGGCTCAGACTCCATGTTGGGGCTTGGAGACGTAAAGATCACTGTCCCCAGGAAGACTTGGACCACAGGGGAGCAAATCGGGGGCCATTTCACTCTGTCATTCATCTGACAAATATGTATGAAGGGTGTATGGATTAGGTGTCGGAGTTCCAGACTCCGGATACAGTGGTGAGGCCCCTGCTTTCATGGGGATGGGGGATGAGAGCCAGGAGGAGGAAGAAGAGGCCAGAGGAGAGCAGGCAGGGAAGAAGAAAGGGAGCACATCTGATGGGAGCGCGAACCATCAGGATCGACCGAGGGAGGCTACCCTCAGGCAGCTCTGCTTGGCCAGCCCGAATCCCAGCAGCCTCTGCGGGGCACCTGCTTGGCTGAGAAGAGCAGCCTCTCTAGGCTCGCTCAGAGGAGCTTGGCACTTCATCCATCCATGACACAGCTCTGTCCTTTATTTAGGTGGGGACCTGCCATCTCTCAACCTGGGGGTGTAGTGAGAACAGGGTCACTGGTGATCTCGGGAGAGTCCAGGGGCCGAGCCTCGGGGGTCGCTGCTCACAGGGGCGTGCTCAGGGAGTGAGGATACAGCCAGAGCTGCACGTATAAATGTGTCCCTTTTTAAACGTCTATTACGGTTTAGCCCTATATAAAATTAATATGGTGAGTTCAACGGACGTATTTAGTGTATATGAATAGCTATCAGGACAAACACAAATGAGAATAACAATTGACATGCATTCTATGAGAAATACAGCTAAGAGTTTAAAGCACGAGCTGTGACTCCCTCTTGGTCCCCAGCTGGTGATGCAGAGGGTTGGGTCCCAGGCGCCACAGGCTCAGGCAGCCCAAGGGGGGTCGAGGGGCTGGTGTGGCTGGGCGGGCGGTGGAGCCTCTGGGTCCAGGGCCTTCCCATGAAACCCAGTCCTGCTTTGGGTCTCAGCCAACGGTCCTCTCCACCAGAGCCCTCCCTCCCGGGTGCCCCCAAGACCATGTCCTCACCTCACGGACACCTGTCCCGAGACACAGTTCCTCCTGTCTGCTTCCCCAGTGGCCTGCCAAGCTCCGGGAGCAGGACCCGATCTGCTTATTCTCCTCATGGGGTTCCGAGAGCCTTGCACAGGTCCGGCATACAGTGGTGCCTAATAAAAACCTGGCCGCTGACTGATGAATAACAGCCTCTCTCGACTCAAACGGCTGTCACTCCTACGTTGGCTGACAGCTTCTCTGGCCTCTCCGTGCAGCCCCCACGTCCACCTGCCACCTGCGGGGTTCACGGAGGGCCACGGGTCCTCTCCCCAATGCCCCCCCGCAGCCAGCACTCCGGCCACCCCACGGGGCCCACCCTTCTCTAGGGTCTTCCTCTGACCGCCCACAGCAGAAGCAGGACTGTGGTGAGGCCACAGAAACTCTGCTGGTAGCATCTTAGGGAGGGGGGGCTCAGGGCAGGAAGCTGCACCTTCCAGGGCAGGAAGCTGCACCTTCTCCCGCCCCACGCGCCTGGCCTCGGTCCGCAGCCGCCGCCCCCGGGCCCCTGGGCCCCAGAGTTAACCCGCGCTCCAGTCCTCTGTCAGTGGCCACCTCTCAGGGCCCTGCTGGGTTTCTGGGCAGAGGCCCTCCCTCCGCTGCCCTGTGCCGTGGGACCTGCTACGGTCTGGGGCGAGACCTGTGCCCCCCTCCCCTCTCTCCGGGGTGGGCCAGGTCAATGGGTATTTGCATCAAATCAGTGGGGAAAAGGGGGACACTGGATGGAGCTTCTGGGCAGGGAAGAGAGAGCAGCCCCAGGTGCACCTGGCCCCACCACCACCCTGCCTGGGGGCCGCTGCCGTCCACCGGGTCTCCACCCAGCACCCCTCCACCCTGCGCCCCTTCTCACGCTCTGCTCCCCTGCTCGCAGTTAGTGTCCCCGTGTTAGTTTCCTATGGTGGCCTTAGCGAGTTGCCACGAACGTAGTAGCCTAAAAGGACACACATTTATTCTAGGCCCGGAGGTTGGAAGTCTAACATGGGTCTCACCGCGCTACCACCAAGGTGTTCACTCTACTCCTGCCTCGTCCAGCTTCCAGAGGTGCCCACGTTGGCCTGTGGCCCTGTCCTCTGTCTCCCAAGCCTGCAGTGTGGCATCTTCCAACCTCTCTCTGACCCTCCCAGTTCCCCCTTATGAGGACCCTGGTGATTATACTGGGCGCACTTGGATAATCCAGGATCATCTCTGATCTCAAAATCCTTTTTTTTTTTTTTTTAAGATTTATTTATTTGAGAGAGGGAGAGAGAGCCCATGGTGGGGAGGGGCAGAGGCAGAGGGAGAGAGAGAATCTCAAGCAGACTTCCCCCTGGGCATGGAGCCCGACCCTGAGATCATGACCTGAGCCAAAACCAAGAGTCGGACGCTTAACTTGGTGCACCACCCAGTTGCCCCTGATCTCAAGATCCTTAACCTTAATCATACCTGCAAAGTCTCTTTGTCCCATCAGGTGACATATCCAGAGGCTCACCTAATTGGAGGTTGGCCTCCCGCTATACAGGGAACTCTCTGGAAGGCAAGCATTGTGACCTACTCATCTCAAGCTCTCTCAGCCCCATTGTTAACACAAAAAAGGTGACAAACACGACCCTGTAGAATTAATGAACTGAAGTCAGCAGAAGGGCTCCCCACCAGCTGTTCTTCATCAACCCAATCGCAGAGACCCCCGTGGGGGACAGTGCATTCTCCACAGAGTGAGCCCCGCCTCTGCCCTGCACCTAAGCCAGAGACCACGGCTGATGTCTGATGGATGCTCTTGCCTCTGATTGTGGGGATGAGGGTGGGTTCTGGCGCTAGACAGACTCGGAGGTGAATCCTGCTTCACCAAGGTGGGTGAACACAGTGGAGTCGGGGGGTGAGTATAGTAGAGCTGGGGTGCGTCCTTTAACCCACTTGCCTGTAAGTAATGACGATAATTCATTACCTTCAGTGGAACCAGCAGGATTCTTGCAAGGAGGAAATAAAATCACAGATGATAAAATG